CTTTCCTTCATTATGTGTGCTGTAAATTTCAATCTTGGAGATTTCAAATTTTTGTTATAAAATTCACTTCCTTTATCTACCCATAACTTTTGAGGTCGTCGGTGGGATTGTTTCATTATTGTTTCAAATGCGTGTTTGACTGATAATCCTGTTTTGTTTTTGAGAGGAATAGCCCAAGTATATCTTGTGTACAAATCTATAACTGTTAAGCAATATTTATATCCTCTTTCGACTGGCATATTAATTAAATCTGCTGACCATATTTCATCTTTATCAAACACTTTGACTTTTAAAAATGTTTGTTTTTTCTAAATTCTTTGTGTATTTCATCTGCTATTCCCATACCCATTTTCATCTTTGCTTTCAAGAGTTTAATGGAATATTTTCAACTTCGATTATCATTTGTTTGTCTGCTTCGTGTCTGGATGTTATGTATTTATTTCTGTATAGTATATCGTGTTTAAGTGCAGCGGCATCAATTCTATTGACTGGTTCTTCACCTGGTTTTGGTTTATCATTTTGGTCTAATCGTAAATCTAACCTTGTACCTGGACCAGTGTAATTATGACCGGGAAGATGTTTTTCTCCAGGGTATTTTGCCAATGGAAATTCAGGAAGAGAACCTAATGATTTTTGAATGTCAGAACCGAAATAAGTTTTAGGAGTTTGGGCAATTATCATTGACATTTTTATCCAATAATTTTAAAACCATTGCCTTTTTTGGTTTTCTAATCTTTTATTTCCCATTTCTCTTATATGTTGTAATTCTTTCAACTCGTTAGATCTTTTCACTGTTTCGCTTATATTTACTCCCGCTTTTGCTACAGACCCAAGAGCTTGCGCTTCTGAGGAAATGAGGGATTTGTTGTTTGAGACAAAGTTGGCTACTTTTGGGATGAGAGATGATAGAGCTGAGAAGAAACCATCTCCTTCGAATTTGTGTTGTTCGTGTTTTAAAATTAAACTCATTCTGTTTTTAAATGAGTTAATTTAAAGATATTATTGGCCTGGGGCGCTTGGTAAACGTGTACCCCTATAGGCTCCTGTTTTATTAACCGCGTGCCTGGTGGGGTTGTTTGTTTGGTGGGCTTGGGGGCGCCGCAGGCAAAAGAGTAGTATAAGAGTATATAGATAGGGGGCACTTTTGTATAATTTATAAAAAAAAAAATCGCTTTTTGACTTTTGGAAAAAAGTGATTTTTTTTTTTAAATTATAAAAAGTGCGTCCTATCTATATACTCTTATACTACTCATGTACGACAATCGTATAATTCCTTCAAAAATACCTCAAACTAGGAATTTCAATTTCTTTATATATGTCTTTTATAAGGTTGAAAGAAACTTTCAAACTCGGATATTTCTGTACACACGTGGATTTGAAGGCCCAAATTTCAACGGTGAGCTGTGAACATTGTTACTGAATTGTTAAGCTAAAAAATCCTGTTTCTGAGACTAAGGTATGATTGGTCAAAAGGTGATGAACATGTCCCTTGAAGGTCTAAGAGAGTTATAAATAACAGTTATAAGATAAATCCTACTACAATACTGGGTCTCTCAAAAATTACTGACTGAATTTATCATACTTACTAATTTCATCCATGTCCATACCAAATAACATGAGATCATGTTGTCTTTCATGTTCACCTACAAACGACCTCACTGATACTTTACCTCTCCAACCACAAAATACTATTTCACATTGAGGTTTACTTTCACTGAAATGAAATATTAATATTTTACATAGAGGTATATTATCAATGAAATAAAATAATACAATTTCATATTGAGGTTTACTTTCATTGAGGTTTATTTTCACTGAAATAAAATAATACTATTTCATATTGAGGTTTATTTTCACTGAAATAAAATGATACTATTTCATATTGAGGTTTATCTTATCTGAAATAAAATAATACTATTTCATATTGAGGTTTATTTTCACTGAAATAAAATAAAACTATTTCATATTGAGGTTTACTTTCACTGAAATAAAATAATACTATTTCATATTGAGGTTTATTTTCACTGAAATAAAATAATACTATTTCATATTGAGGTTTATTTTCGCTGAAATAAAATAATACTGTTTCATTTTAAGATCTATTTTCACTGAAATAAAATAGTATTTCACATTGAGGTTTACTTTCACGGAAATAAAATAATACTATTTCATATTGAGGTTTTAGATTTACATTCTTATTGAAATTCTTCGAATTGTTTTACTTTTACATTCAATGAAAAAAAATTTCACATTGAGATTTACTTTCACTGAAATAAAATAATACTATTTCACATTGAGGTTAAATTTCATTGAGGTTTATTTTCACTGAAATAAAATAATATTTCATATTGAGGTTTACTTTCATGGAAATAAAATAATACTATTTCATATTGAGGTTTTAGATTTACATTCTTATTGAAATTCTCAAAATCGTTTTAAATTTGCATTCAATGAAAACTAACAAATTCCACGATGCAATTTTGAATCACAATTTCATGAACTCACCTGTCTTTTGGTTTGTAGCAGAACACAACACTGCCTGGACCTGTAATAAGTCTTACATACAACTAAAATTCAATAAAATATAACTCAAATCTGGCAAGACCAACAACA